ATTCTGCCTAAAGCCTGATCATTTTCTTAACTCCTGCCCAAAGGGACAGTTCCAAGGCACCAAACACACGGATCTGGCTGGGAACGAGGCATTCTGTGGCTTTTGGAGGGGGCACCATGCCAAGGACCAGGAAGAGCTCCTGCCAGCCAACCTTTCATTGCTCAGCTTCTGTGTACACATCTTCCCTGTGCTCCCGACTGCTTGGTTCCCTTTCTGGACCATCTTGCTGAACAAATTTGTCACTTTTGTGACTGGAAGAGCTGGACATTGGTGTTAAACAAGGGCAGGAAGCACTGGGGACAAAGAAATTCAAGAGAGGCAGAGCAGGAGGCAGCACACTCCAAACCCTAGGCAGGGGGTGCAGGAAAACCCAGGACAACAGAGCTCTGTGAGGAACAAGCAGGGGGAGAGCTGGGAAAAACAAATGTAAAATGAACATTTAGGGATTCTATTCCATAGCTGGGATTATGTCATGCACTGATATAAGCTCCACACACACATTACCTACTCCACACATAAACCTTACAAAGCTTTCCTTGCAAAACACACCCTGGGTACTTTAGGGTTTTTTTTTTTTTGTTTTTTTTTTTCTTGAGGAAAGAGTAAAATGACCCTTTTATTCCTCATTAATATTTGTACCCACACAATTACTTTTTCCTCAATGGCACACCCGAGGCCACTCAACAGCTTCAAATCCCAGTTCAAATGTGAATTCCCTTAGAACCTTAATAGATTTGCATTAGTGAATATTATTTACTGCCAGAACCCAACATTTCTGACCTGCTGAACGTGGGACTGAAGGCATTTGTTTGTCCAAACATTTGGGTGCCACAGGCAGGTTATTTATGGCAGGGTGAAGTTTCTATCTCCAGTGTAAGCCAGGAGATTTAAGGGATGGGGATATTGGATCCCTGTTTTCCACCCTGATGTTCCATGTGCTGGCAAGACAAAGAGCAAGGAAAAGGAGCAACAACTCAATTCAAGAACAGCACGAGCCCAAACCCAGGGCACAGAGGGGATAAAACTCCCCATTTTCCAATTCCTACCTTGTTTAGTTTAGTGCATCATCAGGGCTTTCGAGGAATGGGCACCATTTGTGCTGCAGCTTCTCCTCAGACTTTGAGGCACTCAGTAACTTAATAATTTCATCACCAGGGTGTAAATCCAGGCTCATTTATCTACTTTAAAATATTAAGTTTTGCATTTTATCTATTCAAAGGGGTTTTGCTTGTAGAGAGGGATTGTGAGGAGTAAAAGCTTTGTAGGGTGCAGACGTGGCTGGTTTGGTTATTCAATTTTACTCCTTCGTTGTTCAAACTCTCAGGAGAACTCTGGACACAGTGACTGAACTAAAAGGTGTTGTTATTATTATTATTATCAATCAATAGGATTGTTCAGACCATTAAACATGCTGCACAGCATGGAATAGCTCAGCTGCAGAGTGAGGGCTTCACTGCGCTGCTGGGCAATGCTAAAACCCAGAAGTAAAGGCTCCACAAAGAATTTAAACCCAACTCAGTGGACCTGAAGGCCAATCCTTTGCAGGATTCTGTCGAGAGCTTTTACTGCTCTTTTGCTGGGGTTTGTGGCTGCAAATTTTTCAGGTTCTTGGTAGACCCTAAACTCTTAAAGCCTTGAATCACAACAATTTATCACCCATCAGGGAGCTACATAAAATATATTTTCCTTCAGAGTGACTATTCTCATAAAAAAAACTAATTTAAAAAGAAAAAAGACAATTAAGAATGTTTTTTAAAAATCTACACTACAGCCCAACTTTACAGGGATCCTTAAACCTAAAAAGTCTGACCCCCAAAAAATTAATGCCACCTGCAAGCTGTAAATACATTTATTTAGTTTTTTTTTTCCCCAAGTATTTTCTTTGGCTGTTACATTCAGCTGAACAAGGCCTAAAAATTGTCAAACTAAATTCTTGTTTAAGAGTAGAGCTCTAACTACTGCCAGTTTGAGTGAAACACACAGCCAGGTTTAGGGAATATGTTTTATTTATCTTGGCTGCGGCGCGGGGTGGAACATTTTCCATCCCATCCGAAGGCAGTCAAAAAGGGGTTGAAATATTGCACAATAAAAGCCATTCATTATATCTGTCTCCTCTGCCTTCCAAAAACAGAGCTGCCTGACCAGCCCCGAATCCGGGCAGGGGGCAGGAAGATGGGAGTCAAGGGGTCACTGGAAATAAACCAAGACTAACACCAGGTTTTTCAGGCCTGGCTTAGGGAATCTGTTCCATGCCCTCACTCCCACAGCACACAGGTTTTCCTGCTCCCCCCTCCCAAGCCTGGCTAAAGTAGTTAATTGCTCTGTTATGCACAATTTACAGGAGTTAATTACTAAACTAATACATTAGGCTGCTTGTCTCCCAGTCACAGGCCCAGCTCCAGCTGCTCCACTGGGACACAGGGAAACTGGACTGGACTTTGACTTGAAACATTTTGATTTTACTTCCTCACTTGAAAACCACATTGAAGGAATACCCCACTATTTTTTATTTATTTCCAGTGCTCACCTACCTGTTGGCAGCTTGCAAATGCCGTTTCTACCCCTGCCTGTTTGTGTTCCTGTGCGTTGAAGCCATCCCTGCCATTCTTCAGAATTTCCCCCTTTCTCCACCTCCTTGTCCACAGCTCTACCAATCCTTTGCTGTTTGCTTCCCTGTCCATCACTAAAGTCTCTCCAGGTCTAAGAGTGAGAGTATTCACAGTGAAGAGGAGGAAGAGTCAAGCACAAACTTTCTAAACATTTCTGAACAACAACTGACCCTGATGAACCCACGACAGTGACATTTCTAGACAGCACTCAGTGTTTCAGCATCTTATATTGCTCAGGAGTCAAAATAAAGTAGAAAAAAATCAGCTGAAAATCAGATTTATTCACAATTATTTTAAAGTGAAATAAATAAAAATGGCATATACAGTTCTTGTTATTTTTCCCCTGCTTATCAGGTCAGGATGACAAAACTTTTATTTCTTCAACTTTTATTAACTCATATGGGAGAAATTTGGTCATCTCAACCCCACTTTTATAACTTATGGGCACCTTAATTAAGGCAAAATATTGGCATATAATAATTCCTGGGAAACATTAACACTTTCCCTTGAAAACCTCCTGGAGAATTCAGGGATAAGGATTGTTCTTTGTACCTTGAGCAAAGTGAAGCAGAGACTTTTCCAACTGTGAAATAGCTGCCAGATATCCAGCTCTGAAAATCTGTCAGCACTGCACTTCACAAAAGTGATGTGTAATTACTCTTACTTATTAACAACATCATAATTACACAGCAGCAAAACAATCAGCCTTTCCAGGCCCCAGCACTTGTCCTCCCTGCCAGTCAGAGCAGCAATTACGTGGCGAGCTGCTAAATGCAATTATTCACCAACCCACACCCAGGGCTGGCTTGTACCTGCTTGAAGTCATTTAAAGTCCACACAAATTAAAGTAGGGAAGTACTTCTAAACACAAATTCATCTTTATAAAAGCCCTCCCAAGGGAGTAGAGCTTCTCTTTGGAAGAGGAATAGCAATGCCATGGGTTTATTTAGATGCCACTAAAACACGTGGTCTGAGCTGGAGCTCAGCACATAAAAATGGGATAAAACCACTGGAATCTCCTTCAGGCAGAGCTGGAAACCAGAAGCACAAACTGAGAGTCCTCACACCTACACAGAGCCAGCTTTGGCAGCAGTTGGGATTAACCCCTCTTGTATCAACACATGAATTTATTGTCTCTTCCTCCAGGACAACTCTCTGATCTCACTATTGTCTGATATTCAGGATGTGACAGCCCCAGTGTCACCAGTGCTGGGTTTGGTACCTAAAAGCTGCACAGAGACAGCCAGACAGCTCAAGTACAACTTGACTCTGTTTAAGCACAAAGTGATTTCCATATAATGAAACTCATACCTGATTCCAGGCACCATCATTTCTCTTTCCCGGTTTAATTCCAGTGCACAGTTCAGTTGCTTTGTTTTGAACAGTAAAAGGAGCAGATATTTTTACTAATTTTTTAAGCTTTACATTACAACCATGTAATGTAAAGCCATGTAATGAGCCAGCCTCTCAGATTTTGTCCAGGATGTTCCTTTGCAGGTCCCTTCCAAGCAGAAAGCTCAGCCCAGCCTGCCCTCTCCTGGCAGCCAAGCACAGCATCCAGCCCAGGAACTCTCCCCAGTCTGCTTCCAAACCTAACCCCAAAAGCAAATCCCCAAGCCAAACATTAAGGCAACTGTTTTTGGAGGGATTTAAGACATGGAGATGTGGCATTTGGGGACATGGTTTATGGGCCACAGGGCAGTGCTGGACTCTGATCTTAAAGCTCTTTTCCAACCCCAATGATTCTGTAACTCAAACAGCTTAAATAGTGGAGTTTCTTTCAAGTTGCTTTAGGAATTCTTGTCTTGGGAGAAAGAGGTATAAAAATCCAACTGCTCTAGTTTCTTTCAAGCTCTATAAAAGCAGCCAAGTACATAAAAGATTTTATCCCACATCACTCATGGTAAAAACCAGGTCACAGAAGGGACTGTGTTGGACACAAAGCCATTTCCTCCAGGCTGGCATGGGCATCCCTCTGGGCTGGAACACCCCAGGATGAAAAATGAAGGCAGCAGCAAAGCTTGGAGCAGAGCACCTGCAGTCCTCACTCTTTATTTCATTGTTCCAAGCAGAAAGTGCAAACAGGAAGGTGACAGGGGCCAGCAGGGGATGGACTCAGGACACACACAGGGCTGGGAACGGCTGGAAATGAAGCACAGCCTTCCAGGTGAGGAATACTTCTCTCCCCTCAGCCAATTGCATTTGTCAGATGAATTTGATACAAATAAAGATCTAAAAGCTTTTTTTTTCTTCCATGACCACCCTTTACATCAGAGCATCATTCATGAACTCTAACACTAAATCTTACTCAAAGGAACTCCACCTCTGCTCATGCCCAAAGCCTTTTCAGAAGATAGAAACAGGCTCCCCACTTCTTGAAAGGAAAGAGGAGGAAGTGATTCCTTTATTCATTGCAGACAATCTCTTTTTAGTGTATTTTTGCAATCTAGAAGAAAATATATGCAGATTTCAACAGCAATTTATAGGGAATGGTCACACACATGGGAAACAAACCCTTGGAGCAATTGTAGCTGGAAGGACACATTTGACTCTGTGGTTTAGCTGCCAAAGACAAACCCACATTTATCACGGAGAACTTTTTAATACTCTTCATTACCTGCCATAACTGTACCAGACCAATGCTCTGAGCCAGTCTGCCACACAGTTCAGATCTTCAAGCATTTTAGGCATCAAGACAAGGAAAATGAGTTCTGTGTTATCCAGAAAATGAATAGGAAAACAAGTGAGGAAATACAAGTGGGAAAGACAAGAAAACTGCACTTGAGAGACAACACAAGGCTCTAAGAAGAACCTTCACTTCAGAAATCCAGAGATGCCTGAAACATCTTTCAATCTTAGCTCAAGAGTTTCTGCTGCTTCCGAGTGTTTTTGGTCACTCCTGTCCTTCCGATGCACAGAATTTGTGCTTCTCCTTCTCTGGGTGGGAGCCCAGGGCATTCCTTGAGCTGTGCCTTCACAGAGGCTTCTCCTCTTCCACCTCCTGCCAGGACCAGCAGCAAGAGGAGCAGAGCCCTCATTCTCCTTCCCTGGGGCTGGGAAGGGGAGGAGGTTTTGTTCCCTGTGGTGAATATTCTCAGTTCCTGCCAGGATGGATGTGCTGATGCTTCTCCTGGCTTTGGGAGCAGCTGGGAGGGGAGGCTGCTTGGGAACCTCACTGGGAAGCTGAATCCATGCAAGTCCCTTACCTGCTGCACCCTTGCTCAGCCTCATGCTGCGCCTGACCCTGACCTCAGCACTGGCACTGCTGCTCCTGCTGCAGGTCTGCAGGGATCCCTCCTTTGCCTGGGGGACTGATAAAACTTCTTCCACGTTGTAAGAGCAAACTGCAAGATCAGCCCCAGGTGTTTCCAGGTTTTCAGCAGGAGGGAAGTAGAAGGCACTGCTCCTTCTTCTTCTTCTCCTTGCTGGATCACCTCTGACAGAATCCTTTAGAGGACACTTGGCTCTCTGGGCACCCTCCTGCACATCCTGTTGTTCCAGAATTTCCAGCCCAGTTAAGAGATTTCCTTGTAATTCTTCCTTTTCTATCAAGGAACTGCTTTCTTTTGCTTCTTTTTCACATGGAGTCTCTTCACCTTGCTGAAAATAAGATGTATCCAAATCACCTTCTGCATCTGGCACAGCATTTGATAACTGGGGAGATTAAAAAAAAAAAACCTTGATTTTTTTAAATACAGGCAAGTGGTAATCCATAAAAAACTGTTTTCAAACAGCTGAACTGGCTCCTGTTCTCCTTACCACGCGAGTCTCCAAAAGCCCAACACCTGACAGGGAATCCTGCAGGCCAAACTTAGGTTGCTTGGGAAGCAGAGAATGCTGGAATAGCCAGGGATGGAAGAGACCTTAAAGACCATCCTATTCCACCCCCTGCCATGGGCCCAGGCTGCTCAGAGGCTGAGTTCTGAACGCCCAACCCCTCCCTTCCAAGGATGGAGATTCCATGGCCTCCAGGCTCCCTGGTCCCCAGCTTTATCACCCCCAGTGTTTTCCCCCCAGCATCACTCTGTGCTCCCTCAGCCCAGCAGTTACCTCAGCAGCAGTGCCAGGAGCAGCCTCCAGGCTCCCTGGCACCTCAGGGTCTCCAGGCCCAGAGCTGGTGGCTGCTGTCTCCTGCAGGAGCCCAGGGCTTGGGCACACAGCAGCTGCACAGAGCCCCTTCCCACGCATCCTTCCAGCCTGGGGCTCCTGGGCAGTGTCCCTGCAGGCATCCCAGCTTTTGGGATCACCCACACTTGCACCCTCTGAACAAGAGTAAACATGTGGTTAATTGACTGAGTGTACAACATCTTCTATGCTTTACAAGAAAAGCTGCATGGTAATTTACTTTGTGTATTGATTATTTTACTTATTATACTTCTTTACCTATATAAAAATAACCATCCCACATGAACAGTGGGGAACAAACCCAACACAAAGCTCTGCACATCCCTTCACTCTTCACACCCAACTCTCCAGCTTAAAGACTCTGAAAATAGCAGCACCCAAAGTAAAGAGGTGGGGTTTGTCTGGTCAGATTTACACTGGAGTCCAACAAGAACTGAATTTACCAGTTGGACATTATTAATTTATTAGATCCTCCAGACTCTGCTATTACAGAAGCAATTAAAAAGAAAAAAATATTTCTTGTGTAACTGTTGAAATAAAGGAATAGAAAGAGCAAAGCAAAACAAAACTAAAACCCAAATTACCTGTTAGAAGTGCATCTGCCTTTGGTGAGTTTGGAGATGACACTGAAGAGAAAACCTCTGGCATTTCAGGGATAGGGCTGAGAAGGGGTTTCTTAGAAGCCATTTCTCTTTCCCCATACAAAGATTTCTTGACTTTTTTCTTTCTTCTTTTCCCATAGCTCAGGTGGGTTTTTTTCTGAAAAGATTGAGAAGGAGAATAAAGCACAGTGAAATTTTAATCATCTTCTACAATATTTTTCAGTAAGTGACCCCATTACTGGATTTTGATGGATGACAACTGTTTCCCCTAAAAGGAAGATTCCACTTCTTCTGCCAGCTACAGAATAATCTAGAAACCCAAAAGCAAAAAATAATTACTTCTCTAACATGGCTCTGCAAGAATTTGGAAAGGGAAGAACTACAAACTCATTTTTTGGCCCTCAAGTCTGAAAAGTGACACACAAACACCTCTCTCCAAAAAGCTCCTTTTGGCCTTCCAAGAATTCAAGCCCTCAAGTCAGTAAGAAAAAGGGATGGGGCAGGAAATGCAGGGAAACAAGGTGGGGATGAAGAAGAAAAGATTGGCAGCAACAGGAAGACCAAAATAATCCTGGTAAGACACAAGGAGAGAGAAAAAAAAATAAAAGCAGAATTCAGCAACTGCAGTGGCTGGCACTCACCTGGCTCTTCTTGGGAGCAGCTGTGGTTGGATTCTTCTGTCTCTGAATCTTGCTCCTTCTTGGATTTTTCGTGTCTTTGTCGTTCTCAGTGTTTGTGGCTCCCGAGCTGCTCTGATCAGTGTCCTGTGCCATGGCCCTGCACTGCTGAGGAACAGGATTTGGGGTGCTTGGGGGCACCTGCTGCTTAGAGAAACACAGCAGAGTCCAGCAGGCACAAGAATCAAATGGAATGAATCTCTTATCACCTCATTAGGGGCTGGCACAACTGGAAATTAAATATTACAGACTCATTTCCCACAGTACAATCCAGTCCTGTTTGTATTATAATGAAAATACAGTAAATTTTCATCTTCAGTTATTTCTTTTAAGAAAATGGGTTACTTTTTTTATATTCCTCTATTTTTTGCCTTCCCCTCCCACCAGAGCTGTCCAACACTGAAGTCTGAAAGCACTTCTTGTACAATCAATCCTGTGCCTTGAAATTCCAGCAGCCAAACATCTGACATTTTGTCAGATTATTTGGAAAAGCTCCTGGAAAATTCAATAGAAATTGTCAATTGAAAGTATCAGGCTGTATTTTTAATAACTGGAAAATCACTTTCACTGAGAAATCTCATTTCCTCAAGGCACTAACAGGAGGTATTTCCATATACCTGGATATAGATAATCCTCCTACCTGAGGCTGGAAAAATTTTTTTAAGCATCAAGAGGGATAAAAGAACAATTCTGCCTGAAGAAGTTCAAATAAACAAAATAAATTTTATCACCAAGGAAACTCACCTTCCTTTTAGTAGAAGAACGAGTTGCTGCCACATCAGGTTTGTCAGTCTCTGCCACTATAAATGAAAAAAAGGAGTTTTAGTTTCAATGCAAGTTAATCACATTTTGAGGAAATTGTCTACATAATTTCGATATTATGCACTTCAGCCACTTTAGTCTTGAGTAGAAACTAAATCTTGAGGACTATCAAACGTGGCAAGATAAAAATTCTACCTTGCTTTACAAAATAGAGGAAAACTCAACTTGGGAGGATTTGGCAGCAATAATTAGAGCATCCAAAGCTTTCATAAATAAATATGCACAACCCACTTTCAGTTCTTTTGTTGTTGGGTTGCTGTTTAAAAGTCATCAGAATTACAGGATCAGAATCAAGATTCTAAAAATAAAATTACTTTAAGCAGTAAAATTTTCTCAGAAAGATATCACAAGTTTAAATAACACCCAGTTAACCTAAAGCTCAGGTAAACACTGCAAGGAGCTTCAGAAGAAAACCTTTCAATTTAAATGCTAGCAGTCAAGTTTTAGCACAAAAAAGTACAAACAGAAGAATAAACCAAACCCCTCAACTCTCAATTTTCAGGTTCTAAAAGATTCATTATCTACTGATAAAAACACAAGCTGGGGTTACCTTCTGCAATTCCAACAGGTGAAGGGGCTTCTGCAGCAACAGCACCTTCCAGGAATTCTGGGAGAGGCTCAACACCTTCCTTCAAACAAAAAATGACATTTCTTAGCAATAACTACAGCAGATATTTGATGGACCTTGTCCATCAGTGTTTGCAGACAAAGTGGCAATATTTTGTTTCCTTAAAGAAAACATCTTTGCTTTGTGTGACAAAAAAAAACGCAGCAGCAAAATATAAGAAAAAGTAAAGGGGAAAACATTTCAAGGTTCAGAAACCTTCTAAAACAGCTTTCCAGGCCAAAGTGCTGTTCAGAATTCTTAAAAACTCAACTTCTCAGTGTGATTCTTTAACTCCAAGCAGACTCTACTTTTATATTTCAGCAATTAGTTGGCAAAACCCAGCAGGCTGGGGAGGAAATGAACCAAGGATTGACCACTGACAGGGAATAGAGACCAACAAACTCACATCATCCCAACCAAAATCCAGGAGGGGCAAAGGCTCCTGGGAGAGGTCTGGCCTTGCCCAGGGGCTCTGTCCTTGGGGACACCCTGGGGAGGCTCCTCTGCGTAAGGGGGTGTTGGCAGGCAGGCTTTGGTCAAAGATTTCGGGGCTCAGAACTTCCCCAAAAGTCACTTTTTTCTTCTTTGGTGTTTTGGAGCTCTGACTGTCAGTTCTCTCTGTTGGAATAAAATGAAATAAACAGCTGAGTGAAGGGGAACTGGCACAGAGCAAAGGCTTTGCAAGAGATTTCAATATTCTCCTAAAAATCACCACCCAAACTATCCACAAACCACCATCCTTACATGGCCTGTGAGGCCAGCCAGGATTTTCACTCTGGATTTCTTAAGAAATCAAGGAAGAAACAGACTAAAAGTGACTCCTGTTCCCAAGTTTCAGTTGAAGAGTGTAAGACTCCTTCAAAGATCAAGGATTCTATTAAGGTGCTCAAGGCTTTCTGAAGTTTTGGGGTGGGATTAATTTTTTTTAACAGACATGCCTTTTCTTGGCAATCCTGTTTTCCATGTCATCAGCAGGATGCCACAAGGAGGTCATTCAGTGGTCATTAATACCAATGAGCAGACTTAGCAAAGGGGCAAAAACTTTATCCCACACAATATGTCACTTATTTTAAAAAGAAATAAAGAAAGCCAATGGATTTTTTCTTAGGAAAGGGAATCTGACCTGTTTGCAATGTTTCAGAGGCTTTTACACAATTGGAGACTGCAGCTGGTTCATCTCCTCCTCTGTCAATGGCACTGTTTAAGTATTCCTGTCAAATTTAAGAGATACAGTTCAATAAAAATTAATTAAAATACTATCCTCTAAGCAGCATTTAATAATCAGTCCTTTTGTTTAATGAAACCTCCTTGTTTGCTGCATGAATAAAACTCAAATTTCATGGAATGGTTCAGGTGGGAAGGGAGCTTAAAATGATCCAGTGGCACCCCTGCCAGGGGCAGGGACACCTCCCACTATCCCAGGGTGCTCCAAGCTGTGTCCAGCCTGGCCAGGGACACTTCCAGGGATCCAGGGGCAGCCACAGCTGCTCTGGGAATTCCATCTCCCAGCCCACCCTCCCAGGGAACAATTCCTTCCCAACATCCCACCTAACCCTGCCCTCTGTCAGTTTGAAGCCATTCCTGGCACTCCAGACCTTTGTAAAGTCTCTGTTTTTCCTGTCACCCCTTCAGGTCCTGAAGGTGCAATTGGATCACCCCTGATCCTCTCCCAGCATGAGAGCTCCAAGCTGAGCTCCCAAGATGACCAAGCAGCATTAAATCATTTCCAAATCATTCCCAAGCCACAGCAATCAGTCACCAAAGCACCTGTAAGCTCATCCTTAGTGCAAGCACTGCATCAGCCTTGGGGCTGTCTGGGGGCTCCCTGGCTGGGGTTTTCTTCAGGATGGATCTCAGCAGGGAGCTGTTCTGGGAGAGGTCACTGCTGGGAGTGCTCCCAGGGGCTCGGCTTGCACCCAGCATTCCCAGGCTCACATCTTCCACAGCCCCAGCCTTCCTTGTGCTGAGCTCTGAGACAGCATCACCAGTGGCACTGTGCTCACAGCTGGCAGCTTCAGGGCAAGCACACAGCTGTGACACTGAAGGGTTGAAGGAAAAGTGACACAACTTTAGTACTAGAAGCATGAGTATAAAACCACACACGTCTCCACAGATCCTGTGCAGAAACACCCCACAAAAATCCACCAGTCTGTAAATTCTGGCTCTTTTGTGCCACATGTACGTTTGCTATTTTCAGAAATTTATAAAACATACTAAAAAGGAGCACTACATGGGTGGAAAGTTACATCGGGTTTCTACTGCATCCCAAATTGCAGGCAAGATGACAAATGTCAGCTGAAACATTTCCTGACAAATATTGCAGTATTTTTATTTCCTAATGAGCATTTAACAAAGATTATAACAGTGCTGAATCCTCTTACCATGGCCTGTTTCCAGGGTATCTCCAGTTACAGCAGTGTCCAAGGATTTAATAGGATTTTGCTGCTCATAAACCCACTCCTAAAGAAAGAGTTACAGGATTTTTACAACTGCACAAACTATGGAGGGTTTTAATCCCACAGACAAGGATTTCAGAGTTTTCTCCATCATCCACTATTTCAGCTGAACTTATTTTCCCAAAACACCCAGGGAAATGCTTAGGAAATGCTTAATTAATTAAATGCTTAGCAGGATTAGACATGGCAAATGAAGAAATTGTCTGTTTTAATGTCTAACTTAGAGGTTTCTCCCCAGTTCAAAGCACCTTTGCAGCAGCAGCAGGGTCAGGGACAGTCACAGCTCGTTGTGGGGACAGGATGCTGCAGATCCTCAGCTCACTCCTGCTGCTCTTGCTCCCATTTTCTCTTAAGTTTTCTTTCAAAGCAGCTCCTCTGTTGCCCAACATGAGCTTTTCACTCCACTGCTCCAGGTTTGGCTCTTTTTTAAAAGGTGCCTGGCTCTGAGCTGCATCAATTAAAAATAAAACAGAACCCAAACAAATCACAAAGACAAACTTCAGGTTTTTCAATGAATCCTCTTTTTGTGTTTCTCTGTCAAGAGGTGCAAAAAGTCAGGAAATGTTCTAGGCAGGGAGAAGAACACATTTTTAGATGTACTTTGAACACAACATTATCAACCTTCAAAACAAAGTAAGTGATTATTTTCATATAAATGTTATTAAGATCAGCAATAACAGAGAAGTAAAATGAAAACCATTCTCTGTTTCATGGAAAAAAAGTGCAAAAAAACTAATGCTCAGTGAGAAATCCATCAAAGAGTACAGATCTAGGAACTAAAACTAAGGAAAGAAACCAAAAAATATGAGTTTTCAGAGAAAACACTAATCAGGGTGCAACAAGATGTTTAACCAAACCTCAAACCAAGCACAAACACCCGTGCCAAGCCTAATAAAGGAAGATTATTTTGTATTATAAGAAGTATTTCTAGTTTCATATTTTTAGCCTAAGGGAAGAGCAGATATTTAAGGTAAATCACTGACCAGGATATTTAACCAACTTACAGGAACCTCCTTCCTGGGAAGGCTCCCCCAGGTGGGAGAGCCCAGCCTCCCCCTCAGCTTCCTGCAGGGATTCAAAGGAGGCCTGGAAAGCTCCGATCTTGTCCTTCAGCGACCTCACACTCGCAGGTTTAAAAGGACAGATCTGCCAAGACAAAATTAATCCCATCAGGCTTGTCTTCCCCCACACTGCAGCTTTAATGCACTTGGACATAAAATACAAAGAATCTAGCATTTAATCTGGCTGCAATTATAGCTGTAAAAAGAAAAAAATAAGGAAAAGAGGAACTTTACCCAGAAATCTGGTACATTTTATTGCATTTAATCTGTTCCTCTAGCCTAGAATTTGCTTTCTGACAGCCCAGGATAGTTCAAGTTATGAACAAATCTGATTAACCAAGTTACTCACCCTTGAAATTGACTTCACTTGGAAACAGCAACACTTTAATTACCCAAAAACCAAATGCAGCAAACACAGGAAAGTAACAAAAATTAAAATCTATCTGCAAGCTCAACATGGAGAAGAAATTCCAGCCTCTACACAGTGTAAAGAAAACCTGGAACATCCCCTTGTCCTGGGACAGCAGCAAATTAATGCCATGGTTATCCCTTTTGCTGGATTCTTCCCAAGACTCACCTCCCCTTCTCCCAGCACAAGGTGGCTGCTGGAGGGAGTGGAATTCCCCATCAGATCTTTGGGAAGGACTCTCACCTGGGTGAAAGCTTCCTTCTGCCTGCTGCTCCTCTGCTGGGCCAGGTACCGGATCAGGGTGTTGTTTTCTGGTGATCCCCTCAATCCAATGGTTGATCTTCTCCTAAATTTTAGTGAAGTTGGGGAAGCCCCTGGAAAGGGGACAAGAGGAGAGGTTAAAAAGGAAAACAAAGCGCAAAACCACAAAAATATTTTGTAATACCTACAGCTTTAAAATGGCAATTTTGTCTTTTTTAAGGTTAATTAATGCTACTTTATTCTAAGACCCAGAATTACCTGCTCAGCCCAAGAAACCTCCCTGAGCACATCAAATAATCACAAACCAAGTCTGCCTTTCAGCTTTTCAATTGTTTGTTGGTGTGCACCAACACTTGCAGAATTTGCCTTGCAATTCCCTTGTGAAACCCAAGACACTTCATTAACTGCAGAGAGATAAACAGGGAGCACTGCACTGAGTAGGACAGAACCTGTGCAGTGAAATGCTGTCATTATCCCATATGTGGGATGTCCTATAAAGGTGTTGCAGCAAAAGCCTCTCAGAGTGTGCTCCTGGGCACACCCAAACTCTGATCACCTCAGTCTGCCCTAAAGTGGAGCTTTTGGAATGAGCTTGGACTAAAGGAGCTGGAGAAGCCCCTCTGAGAAGGACAAAAGTCATTTGTCACCCCAGCCTCACCCGTGGGTCGTGTTCCAAAACTCTGCTGAGCGATGCCACACTCAGCACTCATCACAGCAGCAAAGCCAACAGGTTTTTTCCTCTGTTCAGATAGTCCCAAATCAGGTTTTCCTTCCGCTTTGTCCCTCTCAGGAGTGGAGAAGTGATTTCCCAAGGGAGCAGCTCGGCTGCTGGGCAAATCCTCCTTGGTGTGCAAAGGCAAGGGGGGCTCACTGAGCACACCCCCCCTGAGGGCCCCAGGGAGCTGCCAGCCCACATCAGCCCCCCGGGGGTGACACAAACCCTCTTTGGGGCACTTCAGGGCACCTTTGGGTGACCGTGTCTGGTTCCCATCAGCGAAGTTCTCCTTTTTGGATGGTCTGATGACTTTGGATTTGGTCACTTGGCAGCTCTTCTGGGCTCTTGACAGAGGGAAAGAGGCCTCTTCCTTCTGTTCAGGACAACCACTCTCATTTTCTTTAACTTTCAGGGGAGATTTAGATCCTCTGAACATTGTTTGGGAGTTATTTGAAGGAACATCCACTCAGCCTTTGCTGCTTTAATTACAGCATTCCTATTAAAAAGAAAAAATAAATTGTTACTTGCTAAGAGCAAGAGCTCACTACCACGCTCCAGCTTCTTCCAAATCCACATTTTTCCCGGACAAGGTGTTTAATAGTGGGGTGGGAAGGGAAATTTATCCCCAAAAAGCTGCAGGAAAAGGACACCAGGGGCAGGGCCCAGAAAGAAAAACACAGAGCAATGAAAAGCTGCATTATCAACGTGCACAGGAGTGGCTCAGGGTAAGGAGCCACAAGGCTGTGATTTCACTCTGTCAAACTGACATTAATATAAAATACGTGTATAAAATACAATAATCACACTGTATTTTATACAATAAACACTGTGGCTGTTTTGCTCCAAGTGCACAATAAATATCAGCAGTTTAATACTACTTTTAATAACACTAATTAGTAGCAGCAGAAAGAGCATACAAGTCTTAGAAAGAAATCAGCAGAAGAAACAACACTAGTAAAATGTATTATTTTAATTCCCACTGGCTTCTGAATAGAAACGTTAAAAGGTTAGGGATTTTTGCAGTTAGTTTCTTAAGTCTCTGATGTACAGCTCAATACCGTGACTCTGAAACTCCCCCTCTGCGAACACGCGCACTTTTAGAAACAAAATTACCCAAACCAGTCTGCTTTACAACGCCTGGGTAACCTTTTTTCTTTCTTAATTTCCCTTTTTCTGCTCTCAGGCCCAGCGGAGGCCGATGGCTACAGTCACAGCCACCAGCCGAGGAGGGGAAAGCTCCCAGCCCGGGGCTCCCCGGTCTGTACCGGCCCTGGGCACTCGCACCCCGGGCACCCCCGGTACCCCTCAGTACCTCCCGGTACCCCGAGCGCTCCCGTTCCTGCCCGGCCGCCCTCACCTGGGCCCGCGCCCGGCCCGCCTCACGCTTTCAAACCGCGCCACGCCCCTGCGGATCCCTCCGCGCCCCCGCCCCTTCGCCCATCCCCAGCGCCCGCCGCAGCCACCCCGGCCCCAGCAGCACCGCACGGAGGGCGGATCGTGGGGGCGGCCCCTCACCGCTGCTCTGCGCCGGGGGTCCGCGGGGCTTGGCGGGGACAGGAGGGACTCTTTGAGGCGGCGGAGAGATCGCGGGCCGTTGGGCCGAAGAACCGCTTTGGTACGGGAGAAAAAATAAAATGATTAAATGAATTCATTCAACGGCCCGCGCGCACGTGATGGGCGGCAACCAATCACAGAGGGCTTATGCAAATATTGACGCTTCTTCTGGTCGCGATTGGCTGTCGTCCCTGCTTTGCCCCTCCTCCTCGCTGCCCATTGGGCAGATGCGCGGCGCAGCGCGGCGCTGATTGGCCGTGGGGCCTGCCCGTCAGCGCCCGCCCCTTCCGGGTGTCGGCGCGGCGGCGGGCGCAGCATGAGGCGGGTGACGCTGTTCGTCAACGGCAGCGCCCGCAACGGGAAGGTGAGGCCGGGCCGGGCCGGGGCCGCTCCCCGCGGGGCCCTGCCCGCCCCTCCCGCGGCCTCCCGGGCAGCCGGGTCCCCCTCCCTGCCCGTGCGGGGAATCGCGACAGGCGGGGATTTGTCGCGGGTGGAGGCGCTGGGAGCCTTTAGCAGTCGCGTCCGGCTGCTGTGTCAGGCACGGCTGTGGGATGAGGGCTCCGGGGGGAGGCGGACCCTGCGCGCGGCTACGCTGGGAATGATCGCGTTTAATGGATGAAAAGCTCGCTAAAATCCTCTCAAGACTGGAAATAGTGATTTTTAGGCCCAAGCAGTGCTTGTCCGGCAGAGGAAAAGGCCCCGGGATGCAGTTCCACAGAGAGTCCGTGATCTTGATGTTGCCATCCGCATTCTGAGTGTAGACGTTGATGTGACCGTGCTTTAACGTGTATTAATTATTAATTCTATTAATTCTGCCCATGATCCCGCTATTTCCACCCGGGCCTGGAGTGCAGGGGTTCATGTGACAGCGTTTGAGCCTTGCAGTTGGGCTGAGCTGTGTCTGTGATCCCGATTTTCCATCCCCAGCCTGAGTGCAGACAGCTCGTGTGCCTGTCCTTAAATCCTTGGGAAGTACATTTGGGAGAGGCTTGGGACAGAGCAATGTTTGAGAGAAATAAACAACTGAATTATATTCCTACAGCACCGACATTTATTCCCTCCCTGCTGTTGCAGTGAGGCTCCGTGGGAGCTGTGAAGTCACCCTGGTTTTGTGTTCCAACACCAAAGCTGCTCTTTTCCCTTCTTCCCTGATCCAGATCCAAATGGATTTTGCTCCTCCTGATAGCCCTGATCAATCTGAAGTGGCAGATCTTTTGGAGCACAGTTGCCTGGGTTTGTTTTGATTCACAGCCTCCTCTCTTCTCTCCTCCCCCAGGTCGTGGCTGTGTATGGGACTCTCTCAGATTTGCTCTCTGTGGCCAGCAACAAGCTTGGGATAAAGGCCACCAGCGTTTACAACGGGAAAGGGGGGCTCATTGATGATATTGCTTTGATTAGGTGAGGATCAGCCAGGAAAAGGCCAATCAGGGCTGGGGACTAAGAGACTAACCTGTTAATCCTCCTTAATCCTTGCCCTAAAACCAGATGTGATCATTTCCAGCCAGGATGCCCAAAGGTCCTTTCATGTCTTTTTAACTTCAAGGCATTTATTGATTCAGAACTTGATACAAGCTGTGTTTGAGGCCTTTTCACCTCCTCCTGTGTTGTTTCCAGGGCAATGTTTGTGCCATGAAATCCCCACTGTTTCAGTCAGCCCTGGAATGGGGGGTTTTCCATAAAGGAGACAAATTCTGGCAGCACTTTGGCTTCACAGAATAGTCCCAGACTGGGGAGAAAAGCAGCTATTTTGTAAGAATTAATTGATTACACAAGTGGTCCCTACATAAAATCTCTGGTGAAGTCAGTCCGTTCCAATCCAGTAGAACCTGCAAAATACAGATAAAAATCAGATACAGAAGTTCCAGCTAATGGCCACTGGTCATAATTTACCTGAAAGAATCAGGAGAGGTTCCACTGTCAATTAGATGAACAATAAATTGTGATTAACCTTCTTTTTCTCTTCTCTCTGCCCCTTCCTGTCTCAGGGATGATGATGTTTTGTTTGTCTGTGAAGGGGAGCCCTTCATTGGTGAGTCTGTAATTCTTATCATTAACCTTTTATTTAATAGAGTTTGTTTTGCCTTCTTATAAACTTAAGATTTTATTTTGTGGTGTTTTCAGAAGATACCTCTTTGTAATTAAAGATTAACAGTTTTTCCAGTAGTTACTTTCTTTGTTCTCTGCAGATCCTCAGACTGATGGGAGAGCTCAGGAGGAGCTGACAGGGTCCCACACAGACTGGCTGACTCTCAATGTGGGAGGCAGATATTTCACCACCACCCGGTAAAAATGGTCTTCAAAAACTTCATTTCAGTAAAGCAAAATACCTTAAAAAGTAACTTCCTGTGAAGCAGGAGGTCTTTGACTCCTGCAGCTTTCTCTGTGCTTTGTATTTGCTACCAAAGTTTTGCAAGAAATTAATTCTTAAACATTTACAGATGAAGGAAGAGTAAAGCTGGGCTGCTTTTGTTTTCTAGGAGCACTTTGGTTAACAAAGAACCTGACAGTATGTTGGCACACATGTTCAAAGACAAAGGTGAGTATGTTGAGATGAACTTTAGTATTTTTAAGTAATAAATCAGCAAAGTAGGCAAAAGTCACTGTCAAGCTGAGGCTCTTGTTCATAGAGTAAAATATCCAAAGTATGTTAAAGTACCAGAGCAGAAGAGGGAATTATTTTTAAAACTTTATTTCCCTCTGTTTATCATCTCACCACCTAATGTTGATCATCTATCTCACAAGCTGCAAATACAGCTCCCATCCATTGTGAGTGGTTTGGGTCCTTTGTTTATTTCATTTGAGGTTTTCATCTCGGTGCATCTTCCTCAGTTTTGTCAGCAGAGCCAATGAGCAAACTGCACGAGGCAGCCTTGGGGAGACAATCAGACTAAAATTTCAGTGCTGCTTTTATCCTAGCCAGGATTCTTTTGTATGTGGTAAAAATTCAGTTATTCAGAACAGGAGCAAGTTCATTTTAAACTGATTTTTCCCCCCACTCCTCCTTTCCTTCCTTCTCTCTCCGAACCACCCTTCCAAGTGGAATGTTTGCTATTCCAGTCCCCTTTGGTAATAAAAACCTCTGAAAACTGAAGCAAATGCTCTTCTATTACTACATCAAATGTAATTATATATATATATATATGTTGTGGAAACAGATGCTTGGGGGAATAAGCAAGATCCTAGAGGAGCTTTCCTCATTGACCGCAGTCCCGAGTATTTTGAGCCCATTTTGAACTATTTGCGTCACGGACAGCTCATTGTAAATGATGGCATTAATTTGCTAGGTAGGTATTACCTGTCTGACATCTCCTGAATTACTCCTCCTTGGAATTAAAGCTTTGCCCGTGGTGAAGCCAGGGGGAGCTTTGTGTGCTCATCCCCGTGGTTGGGAGTTTTCCTTTGGTGGATTTGTTCTCAGCAGTGCAGCTCCATGTGCTTGCTTTAATGAGGATAGGCTGGTTGTTTCTCTTTGGAGCATTAAAAATCCATACTGGATTAATATCTGGAATTCTGCAGTTGATCTCTTTAACCTAATGCTGGTGTTGAAAATGTTGTGTCTGAGTTATGTTTTTCCTTTTAGCTGCAAGCAAACTTTCTCTCTCCCCCAGTTACATCCAGTAGAATGTGTGTGTGTTCTCCAGTCAGGGGAGAGAAGGGTGCAGCAATTCCCTGGAATAACCAGCACTGCTTTGTTTGTAGGGGTTCTGGAAGAAGCCAGGTTTTTTGGGATCGACTCCCTCATTGAACACCTGGAAGTTGCTATTAAGGTACCTTGCTGTCTGTAAGCCCTGGATGCACGTCCTGCTGTGCCAGGGGGTGTGTAGCTCAGTGCTGTCCCTTTCCTCCTGTCCCAGAACTCCCAGCCAGCTGAGGATCACTCTCCCATCTCTCGGAAGGAGTTCGTCCGCTTCCTGCTGGCCACGCCCACCAAGTCCGAGCTGCGCTGCCAGGTGAGGGAGCTCAGCCTTTGTCTTTGCAACAAAACTCCAGGAATTGTTTCCCAACACCTGATCCACCCCTGCCCTCTTACAGTTTAAAACCACAGCCTGTTTTAGGGAAATACCCAAATCTTGAGAGCTTTGTGTTTACATTTCATGGTGTTATGTAATAGAGTTAATGATCTTGTGAGTGTATGTTTCTATAGGACCATGGAATGGTTTGGGGTTGAAGGGACCTTAAGGATAATCTTGTTCCAATTTGCCGTGGGCAGGGACACCTTCCACTGTCCCAGGCTGCTCCAACCTGGACTTGGATGCTTCCAGGGATGGGGCAGCCTCTGGGAATTCCATCCCAGCCCCTCCCCACCCTCACAGGGATGAATCTCTTCCCAATATCCCATCTAAACCTGATCTCCAAATTGCCCCTTGTCCTGGCATTCTCTGTCCATATAAAAAGTCTCTCCCATCTTTTTATCAGCCCCTTTAGGTACTGGAAGTGTTTCAGTACATCTGTTTATCTGCATAGATTTATATACACAACTACCCAGACGTGTTCCTTTTAATTCTTTTGCATCCAGACCTCCCCCTTCCCTTCTGTGACCGTTTTGGGGGTGTTCACTGGCTTTTCCAGGGTCTGAATTTCAGTGGAGCTGACCTTTCCCGCCTGGATCTTCGCTACATCAACTTCAAGATGGCCAACCTGAGCCGCTGCAACCTGGCCCATGCCAACCTGTGCTGTGCCAACCTGGAGAGAGCTGACCTCTCTGGATCCGTGCTGGATGTAAGCGTGCTGCACTTGTCTCAAGAAACAGGAATTGGAAAAAAAAATCAAGTTTCCCAAGTTGTTTTATTTCACTGTCCCATTTACAGTGCTGCCACACTTCCTCACAGTAATGGGGGTTTGCTTTGCGGGGTGCAGTTGCAATGCAGAATTGAAATCTGTGTTCTGATGATATCTGCTATTCATCTTGACA